GCTGCGTCAGAGGCGCCACCCTTGCTAAACTGACTCTCGCAGGATCAGAGACGAAGCAAAGATCGAGCAAGCGCTGTAAGGAATTTCGCACATGGTTGACTTGAGACAGCGAAATGTCAAACAAGCCAGCGATAAAGTCATGTTGTGTAGGTGTATGGAGAGTATTGGTGGAATTATTTGAGCACCAAATAGCACCAGGGATATTAAAATCTCCTAGAACTACCAACTGGTCTCTATCCAAAAGTCTACTGGAAACCATCTGAATAGCGGAAATGTGATTCCAATAAATAGGAAGTTCCGACAGTGGAGGTATGTAAGAACTGGTAATAAAAATGGAGCTACCTTTGATAGATAGCTTCACACAGAGGAATTCAACATCGTTACATTCCTCGAAGGTTAATAATTCTGACGTGAGTGAGGAGTCCACCGCTATTAGAACTCCACCCCCGCGTCTGATAGGGCGATCTAGCCGATATACTGTGAACACAGCTGGAAAAACTTCGGAGCTCAGAATCTCCGGCTTTAACCAGGTTTCTGTGAGCACAATAACCTGAGATACAAACGAAAGGCTATCAGAATACAAGTTAGGAAGCTTACTACGTAAGCCTCTTGCATTCTGATAGGAAATACCTAAGGAGTAGGTTAGTTTTTTGGGTGGGGATTGGAAGACGTAGAAGGTGCAGTGGTAATTTCAGGCCTGGGAAGAGTTATTCCTACAGGCCGCTTTTTCTTTTTCTTCGCCTCGAATTCCTTAACAACTATGTACTCTGGCCAGAAGTTGGGAGAGCAAATAGTGTTAAAGAGCTCGTTAGGGACATTTATTTTGAAAGATGAAATGTCCCTTGCGTAAGAAAATTTGAACTTTTCCACCTTTATCTTAATTTTTTCGGCTCTGGTTTTGCCTTGTATAAAGGCGAGAACATCTTCCGATGTTTGGTCAGGGGAGAGCCGCGAGACAAAAATATGTCTCGTTGGTGGAACAGCTATAAGGGCTTTTGGCAAGGCAGATTGGTTATCCGCCGTGCCATTGTCGGCCGGTATTCCGGGCCTAACACCCTGGGAAGATATATTTATGTGAACGGGACTTTAAGGGGTCAATATTTGCGACCCCCCAGGCGATAGAACAGAAATCAACGGCGGTACGGGCACTCCCGCTGCACATTCGGATACCGAATCTTTTCTAGCGCTCGATCTCAGCACTCTTGGAATTAATGCTGATGTCGAGGCCTGTGCCGAGGGAGGCTGCTGCTGAGAGCCCGTTGCAGGTAGTTGGGGTCCGTCTACATGCTGCCCACCAGTAGCAGTTTTTTTGCGCCTAGGAGACTCATTTAATAGCGTAAGGCTATTAAATTGGGTGTCCAGCGCCAAGAACATATCAAGAGTTTTACGGAAACTCGTTAAAATGCCCTTAAAACCGCTTTTGGTTTGCCGCATGAAAGACATCATCTCCCTTTCTACATCGCGACAGGCCTCACAACAGAAACGCAGACCGATGTTTTTTTTTACATCGTCCACCGTCCGAGCTGCAACTCCAATACACTTGGCGTGCATGACGTTGTCGCACAGCCAGCAGCCGATTGTAAGGTCACCTGCAACAATTGCCTTTTTGCAGGCTTTGACGAAACAGACAATATTTCCGGACATTGTATAGACTTACCACTGTACTTGTACTTTGAAAAAATAAAACAGAGCAATTAAGAAAGAAGTGAAGAGTCTCAGCGAGAGCGAGAGAGCGGGAGAGCGAATAAGTTCAGATTAGATAAGAAGTGCAGCGGCACAGCTAAAGCGAGAGAGTGAGAGAGCGTGGGAGATGGATAGATAAATCGTTTAGCTGTTGCGACGGCGCAAACAAAAGCTAGACGAAGAAGGCACAAAAAGGAATGCAAAATATGCAAAAGCTAACACTAGCAGCACAACTAAATTGGAAAATAAAGCCAATTATGTACACAAATTAGAATAGCTGCATGCACACGCGAAGTGAACGGGAAGTTATAAACACAAATTAGAAAATTTAAGTTAACCCCGGTGGTTAGAATCAATATTTAATACAAAACGAGAGCGCAAGAAAAAAACACGTCCGTTCACTTGGAAAGATGAAAGATGTATGTGCAGCTATTCATTGGGCAATTAAACACTTTAGACCATATATATAAAAATAAAGAAAAATTTTGCGAGATTAGAAGAAAAAGAGGAAAGTCTATAAGCACTAAGCAAGAAATGCATAGAGAAGTAAAACAGTACATAAAAGTACTATCACAAAAACGGCTGAGCCTGGAACCCCAGAGTACCCGAACGAAATGTCATCAACACGAATTGATCAACAATTCATTTATAATTCTTCAACAATTGATGACAGCCTAGGACATGCCCATGTTAAATTAATTAACATTTTGTATGGCCTGTCATCGATGAATCATCAACAGCACCCCCTTGACTGTTGATGAAACGTTGATGAATTACTGATGACTGGTACTGCAGGGTACATACATAAGTATGTCCGCGACGGACGAACCGAGTCATGTTAAAGCCGATAGTCATCGCCGGGAGAAATTCGTGCTATATGCTTACCCAAACCAAAAAACAACAATAACACGTTATCGCTAACACCAGTCGCTGGCTTATCAATTTCCAGAGAATCTACTCCGTAAAGGAGAAGAGTATCTTGCGATAGTGTGAGCTATCCGCACTGACCACAATCTATTCAAGTGGTTAAACTCCATCGGCAACAATGAGGGTCGGATAACTCGGCGGGCCTAAAAGGTAGAACAGTTTTACAATGACATCAACTATCGACGTGGTATACAAACCTTGACCCAACAAGCTTAGGTGCAGGACATCACCTGCAAATGAATCAAGAAGATACCGGATTCAGGAGGAACCAGCCAAGCTATACAGACGTATAGGCCTGCGTCCGGAAAACAATTTATGGTCAGCCAAGGAAAAGCAGAGGGAAAGATGTTTACGCACCAGGTCGACGAACCTTTTTCTTATACTTTGCTCCGACTTCGGGATCACAGTCCCACTTCACTTCTGACAGGGAAACACTGTTTTCCATGTATTCTAGGATACGTTTAGCAAGTGGGTCGATCTTATACCCTTCCGACGGGCCATGGTGCCATACCTGAAACGATCCTTAGCCGTTTTGGCATCCCAATTACTCGGGTTGGGAACAGCTACGCCCAGAAGTCTCGATTGCGGTGAACAGCAGTGTATCTGAAATCACGGGTTTCAGCCACGCCTTTCTTGTCCAAGACTAGGAACCACGCCTTTACGAAGAGGTGACACCAAGTCGAAAAACTGAATTGATCCCGCCTGAGGAAGTAAACCATCACCTACATAGCATCTTCGAGAAAAATCCAAACGTGCCATTGCCGAGCAAGGCAGGCACTACAACTGGAGACCAGCATTGGGAGCTTCACTTCTCGTGCGCCGGCATTCATCGGCCATATCGATAAATAGTGATTGGTAATTCGATAGGTCCAACCGCCACTTGTAACGATATTTAAAAAGCCTAAGCAATAAGAAAAACGACACATGTTGCAGCAGGCAGAAAACATTAGAGGTCAGAACCAAAGACCAGGGACCAGGTCTTGATTGGTGCGTCACGCAAGCCACAGCGACAACGGCCCTAGAGGCCTCCGCCTCAGGAACCATTACGCCGCAGCAGCTTATAACGCTGATAACCCTCACTATCTCGACCCTTATCAGTCCAGGGCCAACCCGTGCCCTGCGGTTAATTTCGCGTCTGGGATTCTGGAGGCCCTAATCACCATTCCACCAAACACGCGACCGTGTGGCCGACGTCTTTTTCATTGAGACAAGTGCCAAAGATGAGTTGAGAGCTTTTCAGCAGGTCTTTTGGCTACTGCAAAGTACTGGCGCCCCTGCGTCAGGTAGGCTCGAGACCGACCGGTCCTGATCAGCCTACTAAGTGGACCAAAGCCACCTGCTACAATTGGTGGAGATGGGGGTCATTCTCGACAACCTGAAAACCAGGATAAAGGAGCACAAAGTCCGCAGCACAAACCAGGGGACGCCTTCTCTAGGTTCAAGCAGCTGCAGGAGGCAATGCTGCGTTATCCGGAGGAAAGACTGACGGGTAGTGGAGTTTATGACACCATGTATCAAGGGTGTCAGGCGACTCAAGACTGGATCCCGCACAGCACAAAAAAATGGGCCCAGATCTTTCCAAGCGCCCCGGAGCCGAATTTAGTCCCCCCGCTCGTAGCTTCAAACCCAAGTATCATCGAAATCAAATCTAGACCAAGATTCTACAGGTGTCAGGTAGTTCGTATCGCCAACGGATGTTGCAGCGCTATAGACAAGAATTAATCATGCTTCAGATGAGGCCACCTGCCGTAACCCAGCGTTTGTAGCAATGAAGGGAAATGATGTATATTACCAGGCCAGCACACACTCCTCCTTAGAAGAATAATGGGAAATGTATTTATCTTGGAATACACAGTTGGGCTTCGGCAGGATAGGATAGATCAGGATTAGAATTAGCTTTACCTGCTAAAAAGGAGGAAAAGCGAGAGCAACCAAAAGTGAGTGCCAGAGCGAGAGCGCTGGCTTCCCACACTGCCGCTCATGGCTCGATCAACCTACCTTTAAAGAGTCAAAAATTATTCATTGTTTGCATTGTTAACTTTTGACTTAAATATAATACTGTTCAAGAGTATAAATACAACATTTTAAATTATCTTAATGGGTTTGAGGCCATAAAATGTTGCATCTTAATGTCCTAACTTAAACACTTCAAAATAAAAAATACCCAATCCACAGTTCACATATAGCAAAATAAGTAGTTTAACCACCACGCCACTGTCATCTATATAGATCAAAGATCAAAATTAATTTATATAGTTAGCTTTCAATAATTAAGTTTTTTTTTCTAAAAAAAGAGGTTCGAGGCCCATAGTACGACGTATGTATCTACTCAGCTTAAATGCTTTACTTTCATGTACCCTATTTGCTTTACCGTAAACCTATATTTCCAGGAAATTCAAAGCAAGTTCTACATAGCCCATGAGAGTATTCATGATTTCTTTAATGCATCTCTACCTTTTGCGAAATTTGATGTTATCGCCATTCCAGATCTTCCTACATATCGTTATATGAGCCAATACGGTATGTTGATAGTAAGGTAAGGATATTAAATGTATTTATGAACAAAATAATATTATTTTAATGCCCATTAAGGGAGTCTGAATTGCATAAAAACGGTATTTTTGAAATTATGCGAGAAACTATGTATCAGTGGATGGGTGTGTGTATTACTCCGAATTGGTGGACTGAAGCAGCCCTTAATAAAGCCTTAATTAGTTTCCTAGCGTTCGAATTAGTCATCAAAGTAAGTTACTTATAAAAAATATATGTAATTAAAATACTTACTTTCTTACTTATTTAGATAACTGGGGAAGCTGAGTTCAATGGAAAATACCCCATGACCATTCTTTACTCATTATTTTATGAATTAAGCAAACGATATCCTCATTCTCGCATAACAGGAATGAAACAAGAGTTGACTTCTTACAAAATTGAGCTTACAATTAGAATGCTTAAACACGTCTTGGGAATGAAATCCTTTAAAAATGGAATACGAAAATTTATAGCCGAATATAAAAACATGTCCTATAAGGAACCTGACCTGTGGAATACACTATCTGAACAAGCTAAAATCGATAGATCACTTGATAATGAACTCAGTGTATTAGAAATTTCTGAGTCTTGGATAAAACAAAGCCGACTTCCGATTATAAAAATTATCAGACATTACGAATCAAGAACCGCAACAATTCAACAGAAGGTATACTTAAGAGAAAGGCCTCACGATGTCCCTGATCAAGACAAAATGCTTTGGTGGATACCTCTTTTACTTATTCGACAAGATACTATTAACTATTTTAACAGTTCATTTTTTTGGATGAAAAAGACAAAACAAATTCAAATTTCTAACTTGCCACCTCAACATCAATTTATAATTGTCAATCCAGAGGAAATTGGACCTTTTCCGGTTAACTATGACGAAAAAAATTGGAATATGCTGGCAAATTTTTTACAAACCGAAAAAGGAAGAAAGGTTATTCCCGCTTATACAAGGTAAATTATTTAAAACACTTTAGTGTTCTGTTAGTATTGTGAACGACTCACAATCCCATAATTACATGGTATCTATAATAACTTATTTCGCCTATTTATTTTCAAATACCATAATAATAATAATTATGAAATTAAATGAAAGGTTATACAAATTTAAAGATGATCTTGCTGGTTCATTGATGTCAGTGAGGATGATACCAATGGTGAGCCCGAGTTTTCCAGCAAATGAGAACGGTATTGGCTATGAGGTCTTCTAAAAAAAAGAATTGCCTAGAGGTCCTAAGGTCGTTCTTGTTTATGGAGAATGTTTTAAAACACCCTGAGGTCTTCCAAAGCAGAGAACACTAATAACGTCTGCTAACTAAAATTTATAAGTGGACCAAAGCTTCCCAAAATGTAGGATCACCTCTATCGATTGCTGACAGATTCTGAATCCTTCCCTAAAAAAATGAATAATGAATGAATAAAATGATACCGCACCAAAAGCTCTTTCTTTGAAATATTTTTCTGTGAGTTACTTTCAACTGCTCGCTTGGAATCGTTTTTGTTGCCCTTGTTTTCTTTCTCGAGTGGCGCAGACGCTTTGGATAGCCTCGGTCTTCCCGATGGAATGTTCCACCTCCATTTTCCCTCCTTTTCCGAGAATTCTCGTCGTGTTATCGTCTGTTCTGCCTCGATGTTTTTCTGGCCTCTTCCTCTTGCTGTTTTTGCAAATTCAGAAATTGCTTCCTGTCCGCCGTTGATGTCTCTTTTTCCATTTTGGACGCCTCAACTTGATCTGGACCCTGCGTCAGCCATCTGCTCTTCCATCTCTTGGTCTCCATTTTCGGTTACATCCTTTTACTGTTTACTGCAATTTCTCCAATTACTCAGCTTTCCGGTTCATCTCGTCTGCTATATTCTGTTCCATGTCTGACATTATCCGCTCGGCCGTTTCTTAACTTCCATGTTTGACTCTAAGCTGGGCTTCGAGATATGGCTGCCTTTCCACATTGCATTGATTCTCCTCAACGATGGTTTTGCTGGTCATTACAACATGCCCCGCGCCATCGTATCCCATGCAGATCGCTGGAGTAATCTTGTCTCTAGGCGAGACTTTCTGTATCGATCATCTTGACTATCTTATCCAGTTTAAGGATCTCGGGAAGTGTTCCGACTCCCGATGTTCACAAATACATATAACTTAATCTCGCTTTAGCAACTCAAGTTATACCGTCAAATTTTTTCTCTTCAGAGGAAACAAAACGTGCTCTTAAAAAAAGATTGCCTAATGTTCTTTAGATTACCTCTGGCGTTTCTCAAAAAAAGCAAAGAATGGATCAGCCCCATCACCCGGATACCGACGCGTAGTCGGATTCTCTCAACCTGGAGGATTGCTGTTGCCTTGTACCGCTCTTCGAGCCACTTCTTTCCGAAAGGGGAAGCCACTCCGTCAGACGGGAATCTGGTGTGTTTGGATTTATAAAGTGGTGGTCGAGAAAAAAATATAATGACCGCAATGTTTAAAAATTCTTATAAACATCTTTAGTTCGTTTTTTTATATGATATGGTTTAAAAGAACTTTTTTTAATAGAGTCTTACGTGAAAATTATAATGATTGACATACATTAATATCTAACGTAGATTTCCTAAACTAAAATCTTGCGAACAATCTGGCACGCCATTAGTTCATTTCCTCGTATTTTCATCAATATTTTTTATCGCGTCTACTAACCCTTTACTTTAACAAGCACGTTCTTGAAACATTTGAACCAAATAAGATAATCGAATAATTTATTCGGCATTTATAATTGTTGAAAATTGTTTATATGTATTGGACAATATTCGAATTCGTTTTTCATATTGTTACATAAGGAAAATCAACTTTCCTTAAAAAAAATAATTTTTAAAAACATATTTTATTTAATTTTCTTAGTTTTAAGTTTCCGGCAGTCGACACCGCTGAAGACCAACCGCCATCGGATTCTTCTTTGACTTTAACAGAAAGCATTCAGTATACATTATCTGTTCAATTTCAGGCGATACACAATATCTGTTCAATGGGTTTAGCCCTACCTGTGCCAATCTTAAGCTCTATTAGAGTAGATTTTCCCAGACCTTTTTCTGTGAAGGAGGGAAATAATTTTAAAACCGCTGTTGTTGCGCCGTTATGGTGTAGCACATAACCTATATGAAAAAACAAACGGATGGTCGGGGAGACCTATTTCCCAGCACGTAGTGATTTTCCGGCTCATCTGGGCATTGATGTTCATTGTTTAATATTCAGTTATTAATAAAATAATAAAACTAATAAATAAAACCACGTGCTGGTATAAGTTAAGTCATTGGCCTTGAAGGTCAATATATAGAGAGACAAAAGGAACACGGGAAAGTAGAAGTCATTGAGTTTTAAATAATCGAATACGCCAGCTTAGATTTTATTAAGCAGCGAAATCCCCACCCCACCAATGATCGCTTGTGCTAAATGTTTCTAAAGATTTTGGGCGATTCCTTGTTTGGTTGCCGAACCGCTAAATTCTTGCTTCACTTCCGATTGATTTGATTAATGAATAAAATCGTCTATTTACTCTTTGTTCACGTCAGAAGGCCCTTCGCGGCGGCTGCTGCGCCGCCTCTGTCCACCGAACTTCCAAAAGCTAGGCCACTCTGCTTGTAAATCCGACCGGCAGGCGACGTCATTGTATTGCACGCAAAGCTTGACGTCATCCGCGTACATAAGTACTCTGGAGTTAGTCAAGACTTTGGGCAGGTCATTTATAAATAATGTAAACAATTAGAGTCCCAAATGGCTTCCTTGCGGGACTCCAGATGTAACCCTTAGAACATTTGGTAAATTAATCTTAAAGAGGACCTTTGGCGTCCTGCCATTCAGATAACTTGAGATACAATTTAAAAGATCACTTGGAAAACCCATTAAATCGAGTTTTCTTTCGACGAAAGAATAGTTAACAGAGTCAAATGCTTTACTGAAATCAGTATAGATTACATCTGTCTGAAGAATATTATGGAAGCCCTTTATAATATAGGAAGAGAGCTCCAAAAGATTTGTTGTTGTTGATCTTCGCTTAATAAAACCATGTTGACATGGATAAATAACTGATCTGGCTTGTATGTAGGAACAGGTGATAAAAATGGAGCTACCTTTGATAGATAGCTTCACACAAGAAAATTCGACATTGATGCATTCCTCGAAGGTTAATAATTCTGACGTGAGTGAGGAGTCCACCGCTATAAGAACTCCACCCCCGCGCCTGATAGGGCGATCTAGCCGATATACCGTGAACACAGCTGGAAAAACTTCGAAGCTCAGAATCTCCGGCTTTAACCAGGTTTCTGTGAGCACAATAACCTGAGAAGCAAACGAAAGGCTATCTGAGTAAAAGTTAGGAAGCTTACTACGTAAGCCTCTAATGGGAACTACCTGAGGAATACATTGGTTTTTTGAGTCAGGATTAGAAGACGTAGAAGCCGCATTGGTATTATCAGGCCTGGGAAGAGTTATTTCCACAGGCCGCTTTTTCTTTTTCTCCGCTTCGAACTCCTTAACAACGATGTACTCTGGCCAGAAGTTGGGAGAGCAAATAGTGTTATAAGAGTTCGTTAGGGACATTTATTTTAAAAGATGAAATATCGTAGCGTAAATAAATTTAAACTTTTCGGCTCTGGTGTTGCCTTGTATAAAGGCGAGAACATCTTCTAATGTTTGATGTGGGAAGAGCCGGGAAAAAAATATGTCTCGTCGGTGGAACCGCTATAAGGTCTTTTCGAAAGGTAGATCAATATTTGCGACCCCCCAGGGGACAAAACCGAAATCACCGGAGGTGCGGGCACTCCCGCTGCACATTCGGATGCCAAATCTTTCCTAGCGTTCGGTCTCAGCACTCTTGGAATTAATGCTGAGGGAGACTGCTGCTGAGAGCCCGTTGCGGGTAGGTGGGATCCATCAA